AAAGAACTATCAAGCAAAGCGAAGAAAGTTGTATGTGAATCAGCCTTTAGGGTGGGTAACTCTGTAAATTTTGGTGTGCTGACTCAGTAACTCCAACTCACTTTAATGAGTCAGCACAGAGAGCTGGCACAAGTGTGCTATCGCACAATTGGTATGTACATCGAAATTATTGACGATGTTAGTAATCGAAATCGATTTAGAAAAGGTTATCCTTAGCTTCTATTCGTAGCTGGCCGGCAAAATTTTATAAAGCTGATTTCAACTGGTGAGTTCATTTGCGAATAAATTCCCTACTTAGTTTTGCTTGAGAGTTGTCACATAAGAATCTGTTAAATGGGCTATGCATGTAAGCGGTTACCCAACGCATAGCACTTCACATGTAGAATTCTGTTTGGTTTTGACTTTTACGTAAAAAGGGTATAGCAGTGCAAGTATGCATAACTGGGCTATTCGCCTTGCTTCTTGTTAAATTTGGTAGTCGTATATTCAACTGATGGTAAGTCTCGTGATGCCATCTATTATGGTACTTTTTGGAAGATCGTATTGTGTGAATGTGTCAGCTCATCAATTGAGTTACCACATCGCCACAGTTCTGAACAATGCAGCCGAACCGAGCTATGCAAGTGTCAGCACATCAACTAAGTTACCATATCGACACTGAAGCACACTGAGCTATACATTGTCAGCACATAAACTGAGTTACTGAGTTACAAATTTTTTCAGAGGTGAGTCTGAGCGTGCGGCACATTTCTAAGGGCCGGTTGTTCAATGTCTGGTTATCACTACCACTACACTATCGACGATTTCGACATCATGCATGTAACATGTGATCGATAAAGCAGTAGTTGTGCTTAACCGGAGCTTCTACCTCCGATTTGCGCTAATCAGACATTGAACAACCGGCCCTAAGAGTCAGCACAGTAACTCAGCACAGTGCTGAGTTACCCACCTCTAGCGGGCAGCAACAACAGTCAATTGGTATTTTGTGTTTGCTTATGATTTCTTCAGAGCTCGCAAATTACTGTTGACACTTGCGAAATGTTCGAAAAATACAGTTGAATTTTGGCAATTCTTTTTGTTGAAAGCGTTGCTCAGTTTCTCCATACGAAAAAATTGTCGAACAAGAAATTGCCAAAAATCAACCTAGCTACTTCAAACTTGCATTTTATTGTACTAAAATTTATTATGCCACAAAATTCCATACCCTAAAAAAGATTTAAAATTTTTATGAACATTTCGCTAATTTTTACTCAAATTTCTTTATTCCATGTACGTATACATACATACATATGTTCATATACACATATTTAAATTTAACTATTTTCACAAACTAAACTCTTTTTAATACATATATGCGTCATGTTTAGAACAAGTGGTTAATTTTGCCTTAATGTATCTACATACATACATATGTACATATGTTTGTGAAAATCAGGCAAAACTGCATTGCACACTGCGTTATTTCGATAACAAAGTATGCGTTAAAAAGAATCTCGGTTACAGGCTAACCTACTATTCGCGGCTTGCGTTTTGGTACGCATGCCGTCGAATTTGTTTTTTTGCGTCACCCGAAATTGACTTGCATGCGTTTGCTTTTGATTTCATTGAGCGAAACGTCAAATTAAAATGTCACGCAGAACAAAAATTGGAAATTGAGTTAGCTTCATACGCACGCCGTTCAATTTCGGTTGATCTCATACAAGTTGCATGTGCGTGCGTGGATATTAGGTTAGCCTGTTAAAAAACCTTAGCTTACATTCTACATACATACATATGTACACAGATATATGTATTTATGTTTGTGCACACAGGTCACTTGGTAACAGCTTTGCCGTTTTGATACAATTGTATCATTTTTGATACTTTTTTCTCTAAATTTTAAGATTTGATACTTTTTTGTTCACAAATCCCCAATTTTGATACTTTTGGCTGACAGAAATGAATTTTTGAAAACTATGAATAATATTGCTAGTTTAAGGGCAAATAATTTTTTTCTTGTCTTAAAATTGTATATGTAGCTACATATTTATAAGTTTGAATTGGTAAAATAGAAATTGAAAAATACTGTATTAGTTTTTGTTAAAAATTAATAACCTTATTGACTGTAAATATTTTAATTGTACCTTGTCATAAGCAGCTGAGTTCGTTTTCGCCGTAGTTATGTTTTACTGAGCGAAATTTTTGGGCGAAAGTTGCCGCCGTCCTCGCACTACTGCGCGAAAATTCACCGTTCGACGGTATTCTGTTTCAACGGTAACACCGACCTACGAGCGCACGCGCCGAGAAGCCAGCGGCAAGCAAACGAGGACTTCATTAGCTCTGCCCTCGCGAGGGCGTCGACGCGAGCGAGGCACTCATTTGTTGTAGCAGACGAGCCAGGCGAGTAAATGAGCGAGGCAAATGAGGAAGCAGATTAGACATGCAAACGGGTTGTTTGGTCAGTAAAAATTTATGGGATAAAAATTGCATCAACTAAGAATTTCGAGTAAAGGATTGTATATACACATGCAGATATGTATATATATACATATATCCACAAATGTATGTATTTATTTGTGTATGTATAGATATGGTCTCATGTACAGAAGAATAGATGCGTGCTATTTTCAGGGTGGGCAAAAACTCGGAGTTCGAGCGAGCGAGTGAGCAAACTCCTACTCAATTCCTCGCAGACAACGAGGCGCTCGCAGCTCGTACTCGTAGCAGCAATGAGGCGAGGCACGAGAAGTTTGGCTCGCTCGC